TGTTATTGTTGCTGTTTTGTTTTTAGGTTTTTGTTGTTATATTTTGCATTGTCTTGTTTTTGTGCTCATTATTGTCGCTGCATGTCTATCTAGATAAGATAGGAGGGACAAACAATCTGGAGGAGAAAGCAACAGGGGGAGGCAGGGTAAAAGAAGGGGATGTCAACAAAACCAGGGGCAAGGGAACAACAAGTAATCTAAAATCAATGGAAAGGAGTGCATAGGAAGCCTGGTACGGCTTGATCAAGGACCAAGTAGTTGAGAGGAATTACCAAAATATGAATGAAGGCCAAATATGATAGGGGGACGAGGAGAAATTAAAAAGAAATAGGAGAAAGAACTAGGAGGCAAAGGTCATTTAGAGATCTAAATATAGGCAGGCATGTACATATGTAGATACATTTATATATGATAGGGAAATAAATCTATGTACATACTATGTTAAGTAGTAAGGCATCAGACAGACATTGGGCCTCCACTCAATGCAAGAACACTTTATTCTAATAATCCGGCATTCTGTGATGCTCACCTTCCCTGACACTACCACCGAAGACAAAATTGGTGCATAAGCAAGTGTGAAGAAAGCTGATGGTGCCCAGCTATCAAAAGATATAGCATCTGGGGTCTTAAAAGCTTGAAGGTAAACAAGCGGCCATCTAGCTGAAAAGCAAGAGCCCACACGGAAGAAGCACACCAGCCTGTGTGACCAGGAGGTGTGGAAGGGATGAGATATCAGGCATCAAAAACCCAAAACAAAAAATCATATGAGGGAATGAAGGGGAGGTCAGAGTACAGACCCAAAGCCCATCTGAGAGCTCAGTTGTTACCATCTTTTCTGCAACATGGGAGCTGCCAGCGCCTCCTAGGGAAATGAAGTCTTTGGAAGCAGATGCAGGATCCTGGATCTAATTAAGGGCAAGAGGATCTCCTCATGCCAAGGAGCTAGCAAATATGCTGTAGTTTTGCTAAGTAGTTCAGGGTTAAGGTTTCTGCACTTGTTACTGAAACTAGTCTTTTCAGTTATTTGGGGTAAACTGCAACAAGTTCTGGTAAAGGGCAAACTGAAGTCAAATGACACTGCATTGGGTAAACGTGCTGCACAAGACATCCTTAAAGCAGGAGGTTTACTTGAAGACTGAGGTGCCTCTCAGCCATGGTATTTCAATTACCTCACATGCATGTGAAAGTTGGATATTGAATAAGACCGAAAAAGAATCAAAGCATTTGAATTTTGGTGCTGGTGAAGAGTAAAGTACCATGGACTGCCAGAAGAACAAACACAGCTGTTTTGGAAGAAGACAGAATGCTCCTTAGAGGCAAGGATGGCAAGACTTCGTCTCAGGTACGTTAGACATCTTCTCAGGAATTCAGTTCCTCGAGGACATCATGCTTGGTAAAGGGGCTGCAGAAAAAGGCTCAAATATTAAAAAACAGGCAGTCTTTCATTCTATTGTCCTTGGGGTGCCGAGTCTGAACTGATTTGAGGCACCTAACAAGCTTCAGAACATTATCAGTAATGTAAACATACTAGGTAGTCTGAAAAAGCATTTTCATCAATTAGGGGCTTTTTCATTACACATTACTCTCAAAGATTCTGTTTTTTGTTCCCCTTTTCACACAATTGTCATTATCTGTCCACTTTTATTGTAGTGTGGTCCTCATGCCAGCAGGAGCAGCATCTCGGAACTTGTTAGAAATGACATTACTTGTGCCTCCAACACTCATCGTTCTGCAATCTGCGGAGCCCAACCACCTGTTTAATCAAACCCTCCAGCTGATTCTGATACATGTACGTTCGAGAACCCCAAGTAGGGAACGCATCATCTTTTAAGATTAAAGCTGAAGGTTCTTAACTAAATTCTAGGAGCCCCCTGAAGTTAAATTCAAATATGCATTTCTCTGGGAGAAAACTCAGAATGGGGCATTAATCTAGAAGAGGTTTGGTACCACAGCTTTTAGGTCATTAAACTGATCAGAATTTACTTCTGCAAATATACAACAAGTCAAAACTTTCTCCAAGCCCTTTAATAAGCACTAAAACAGCTGAGACATAAGCAATTATAAAAAGCTGCGTTTTTTGTTACAGGAAAAGTTTGTATGATATACCAATTTTCTCAAGATCTCTTCTCAAAGAACATTTCATTAATACTCTGGTCCATGGGCTGATTCAATAACTTCACAAAGGCAGGTAAGCAGGGAGGCTGTAAAACAGACCTTTCTTAGGGATAAAAGAATCAAGTATTTCTGACTCCTGTACAAGGTTTTACACATTTTACTCGTTAAGATTTAAATTCTACAGTTTAACTGTTAATAGCACTGCTACCATTAGAAATGCCTGTCAAGTGCTCTTGTACTAAAGTATAGAGCCAGATAGAATTAGATCTTTGTCCAGTTAAGCATGTCAATATGGACTAATACAAATTTTCCCATTCCAATGGTTTTCTACCCATGTGCAATACAAGCACCCGAGAATATTACTACTACTTTTGTCTTGGATTGTTTCTTAAACACCTACCGAAGACCATTACCACACCAATACCTGAAAATTCACTGCTACTGCAAACCTTTAGATGGAAAAATTAGTATTCAGCAATTATATTTGTGGAGAGCTAAAAAACATGTTTTATTACTCAACACAGCTAGCTTTAAAAACTGACAGCAAAGCTGTCAAGATGGAGTTATCAAGTCCTTTCAAAAGGTCAAAGCCAAGTGATACATAGCTTATTACAGTAGTTTTTATTAATTGGGATCTAATACAGACCATATATACTCATGAATAAGCAGTTTCTCAGAACATTTTTAATGCAGTTTTTGTGGTAAAATTAGGTACCTCGGCTGATATTCGGGTCTTTACACTAGAGTATATACAATGTATCATTCACACAGCGTAGTTCTTAAGACCAAATGTTGTGTCTTCCTACTCTACCAAAACCTAAATTGACTCTTCAACAACCTTCACCTAGTCCTTACGCTTTCCTGGGTGCCCAATCTCCTGACAAGCTGTTTGTCCATTACTCTTTTTCCACCTCTATTCTCTCTCTCATCTCTAGCTATACCCAGGCTATTGCAAGATACAAGTGTTTCTTAGCTGCATGATCAAGTACTAACCAGTCACCAATACACTGAGCTGACCATTCTATATTTACACTGGTCATTCTTTCCAAAAACCAGTTTAAGGGTTAAAGCCTAGAAGGTACCCGAATCCTTATTGTCACCTATCCTGATGTTCTAATTTTCTGAGACTACGTACCAAAATAAGCAGCTCATTCCCAAGTTGATGCCAAATCAGAGCAACCCTATTCCCTTCGAGTTTTCATGACTAGCTCTTTGGGGGAGTAGAAAGCCCATCTTTCCCTCAGTGGCTGGTGGTTTCGAACTCCTAATCTTGCAGTTAGCAACCCAATGCATATACCACTATGTGACCAGGGCTCTTCATAAGTGAGATGTAACATGACTCGTCTAAGGCTGTGGGATATTAAGAGGCAAAAGCTAGAACTATATTCCAATCAATACCACAATCCCCCATACAAGCACACACAAAATAATAACTCCAGACTAAGATAGTCTGTTAAGTAAATTGAAATAAAAAGCAAAGCGCATATGCAAAATCTATGGGGTCTCTCCAGATTTTGAGAATAAAGGCAAAATGTACATTGAGAAATGCGGCTTGTTTCAGTAGATGTTACCATGTACCAAAGATCCTTATTCTCAGTTCTGAAATTAACCTGTGACTGGATATTTAGTCAACGTGTGAAAATGAGATTCTACCAATTTTGTTATGTTCAAGTCTACAGCTACAAGATTACACCTCACTCTCAGCATTCACCAAGAGAAAAGAACCAAACATTAGGTAAGACTAGCAAGGTACAGTCAAGATAAAAAGCCAAGAGAGGGACAGGAGGAGGAAGGGGATAAAGAAAAAAAAACGAGGAGCTGATACCTAAGGCTCAACAGAAAGTAAATGTCTAGAAAATAATGGCAACCTATGTACAAATATGCTTGATGCAACTGATTGTTATGAATTGCAAGAGCCCCCAATAAAGCGATCTTTTAATAATAGTAATAATAAAAATCCAAGGGGTATTTTCAAAGAAGCAGATTATCCCAATTACATTAAAAGCTAAGTTGCAAATTAATATACAGAAGCAGAACCATAGATTTCAGTGAAAACTGACGTGATAGCTAAACCACTTTAAGGATCAATTTAGAAATACTAAGGCAGACAATGAAAAATGGAGAATATAAAAAAAATGCAAGACCTATTGATCCAAACACTTCACAAAAGTAACTGGGTTTGAAAATGCTGAACCAAACCAAACGCACTGCCATTAAATAAACTGACTCACAGAGATGCCAAAGGGCAGGGTAGAACTAGCTCTGGGGTTTCCAAAACTGTACATCTCTCACAGAAGTAGAAAGTCTCCTCTTACAGAACCATACACGGTAAATTAGGAGCTGAAAAGGATACCTGGTCCAATTCCCTAACTTCATAAAGAGAATTGACATGAATTGGTGAGTTCACTCTGCTAGATGAAGGTTGTACATAGATCTAATTCCCAGTACTATTTGCAACTACAAATATTTAAAATACAAGGAGGTAAGTATCCAGAGCCTAGTAAGCCAACGATGTAGACGAAACATTTCAATACACAGGGTGGAGGTTAATAGAGTGCAGCAGCACATCTCCCATAGTTGTATAAGGGATTAACTGGAAAATATTCTCAATTTTAATGCTTAGTTTTAATAAACACAATTTTTTCAGTCTCTGATGTGTATGTAATAAAATATAGTAGCTTGAAAAATGTATTTTCATGTTATCTTTCAAAATGTGAGCATTGGCTATTTTTCACATGGGTAATGTTAAATGTACGCTTTAATTATGTGTTTTAGGAATAAACAAAATCATTATTTTGTCAATTCATGGTGTATTTATAAAATGAAAAGCTCTCTATCAAAATACACTTTTCACTGGGAAAAAATAAATAAGACAAATCAATCTATACAATGTAAAAATTAACTTCATTATATTTCAGTATAGCACACAGTCCACAACAAGCATGTATTTGTTTTTATATCCCAAGAGCTGCTTCTTTCCCAACTTCAGAATTTTTAAAGTAACTTCATATTGTGTTGACATTTGTTTCTCATTCCACGTCATCTTCAGCCAAGCTCTGAGCACTTACAATTCTCTAAAGGGGGGGGAAAAAAAAGAAATAATTTAGTTTCTCAAAATATAAGGACTTAACTAATAATCAGGATTCTAGGTTCAGCATAAAATGCCCTTTGCATCGTATGTTTTATATTTACTATATATTTATTTATTTATATTTCACAGATAATGCACCTACATGAGTAACATGTAGCACAGCACACCTAGGAAAATAGTGTGCATATAGGAGCAGTGTTTGCAAGGATGGCATAAACAGTACATTATGCTACATGTTAATCAATTATGTGAATTGAAAAACAAAAAATTAAGATCATGTTTCACTCCCAAGCAAACAATGATTACTGATGGTGTTTAAATCATTGTTCAGTGCTCTAAACACTTTAATTTTAGCCTGGAAATGCGTCAGTTGTCATACAGATAATTTATATAGTATTACAGATGAATCTGACAGCCCGAAAACCACACAAGCTAAACAAAAAGAATTGAGCCCCAAGTCCTTGCTCTCCAACTTTTTCCCTCAAATCTTTGAGGTTTCTATTTTATTTCTGGTCATTTTCTAATTTAGTTATGGAACTACAGGTTTGAAGAATTAACCTGCCAACTATTAAACACAAATCTCTACAAAAATTATCCACCATCATCTTACTGATAATTTTATCCACCGAAGAAATAAACCCCAGAAAGAGAGGGGAATTATTTGGGCTCCATATAAAGTATTCAAAATGTACAGAATGCATTTTGAAACTCATAAATTATTAATAATCTTATATAAGTGGTTACTTTGCACTTCTCATCAGGGATTTGGGCATGTAGTCCAATTAGCTCCAAGCCCATCATAGCAGCAGAAGTAGGTAAGTCCACGTAAATTCTAGGCTATGTCATCATGACCCCTCTGTTCTCTGCCAGGACGCCTGGCAGGATATATGATGTCACAAAAGGGCAGGGCAAAAGAGCTAGCTTTAAAGAGGAGCTGAGAGTGGCCTGTAATTTGGTACGTAATACACTAACAACTAAGGCTTAACACTACCATACATATTTCCTGACTTGACTCAAAGGCACAATTACCAATTCTTATGCCCAGCCATTTAGATGTTTTGCTATTAAAGAAATCTTAAATCATTTCTCAGATTCTACAGAGCTTTAGTTCACATTTCCATTTACCTGACTAATTGTTGGGAGCTTAGTCAGAAGCATCTGGAAAACTGGTGGTGGAAGAGTTTGCTGTAACACTTGCAATAACTGCTGTGGCTGACCACACACAGCAATTGCATTTGTCAAATGGTCCACACCCTTCTCATAATCACCTGTAAGAATAAAATTAATTATATAGCTCAAAAGCCTTTCCTTTAAAAAAAAAAAAAAGCCTTTCCTTTTATCAAATAGTCAACTCTGAAGTTTTCATTATAACTCCAACTGATGATGATGAAAAACAACATACAAGTAAAATTGGAAATAATCTACATCAACGTAACTAGATTATTAGGCAACCATTACGGTGTTCTGGGGGTGCTGTGGGTTAGGCATTGGGCTATTACCAACAAGGTTGGCAGTTCAAATACACCAGATGCTCTGAAGAAGATGAAACTGTTCCCATAAGAACTCCATCTCAGAAACCCAATACTGGGTGTTAAAAGCCACAGTAGACCCAATGACAATGAGTTTGATTTTTTTTAACGTAGCTATTAATAAGAATGAATCAATCATATGTTCTGATAGATACGAAGGTGTAAAAGTTCTGATAGATACGAAGGTGTAAAAGTGTTTGAATTTATTATCAATGTCTCCCAAATGTTATGTAAGAAACTACTAACAATGGAATGCACAGTTCTTCAAAAGAACAGAAAACTGGGGACTGAGGTAGAAAGGAAGCCGAAATTCACTTTAAACAAAAACCTTTTTGTACTTTTGTTACCATGTATTAATTATATCAAAAAATTTAAGTGGTGCTAATAGAAAAAAATTATGATACTAGAAATGACAAGGAAGAAGCAAGCAAACAAAACTATACACTAAATGTAATACACTAACAACTAAGACTTAACACTACCATACATATTTCCTGACTTGACTCCAAGGTACAATTACCAACTCTTATGCCCAGTCATTTAGATGTTTTGCTATTAATAAAAAATTGTTAAATCATTTCTCAGATTCTAGAGCTTGAGTTCAAAATTTTTAAAGATCCGCCCCACCCCCGCCATCTATAAGCTTTCTACGGCAGACACGTTACATGCATGCGTATACACACACAACATTTTATTAAGACACAGTCCACACATCATACAATAGTTCAACCACATCACGAAGTATTGTACAATCACTACCACTATCAGTTTTAAAACAGTTTCTTCCTTTTTGTACTTTTTGTTATTAGCTCACGCATTACTTTTGAAAGAAAAATACATTGCTTAAGATTTAGCTCTCATCACCACCAGTTGCCTGCTGACTTAATTCCAACTCATGGGACCCTATGTACGCCAGAGTAGAACTATGCTTCACAGGGTTTTCAATGGCTTTTTCATTAAGTATCTACACCATGTTTTTAAGCCAAATTCCATACAACTGTCTAGACTCTTCTGTTAATTAAATAGTTTTAAACTATGTACCCTTCTGCAAGAAAACACCAAACTAAACCACTGCCATCAAGTCCATTCTGATGACTGCTAGACTGTAATGATTTCTCCTGAAATGTGGCTGGTGACTTTGGTTAGCAAGCTGTGTTCTTTTAAAAAAAGATAAAATTTTACTTTTTTTAAAAATGAAGAAATCAAACAGAAAACAATTCTCCCAACACCTCTCACATTTCTGTATTTCACCCATGCAGTCATCACGTCTTTGTGCCAGATTATCTTTTCAAGAATATATGTACATTGAATAAGGCTGGAAAAGAAAATATTCTAGAGCAGTGGTTCTCAACCTTCCTAATGCCATGACCCTTTAATACTGTTCATGTTGTAGTGACCCCCCAAGCATAAAATTATTTTCGTTGCTACTTCATCAACTGTAATTTGGCTACTGTTATGAATTGGGCAATCCCTGTGAAAGCATCGTTTAACCCCCGAAGGGGTCATGTCCCACAGGTTGAGAACCGCTGTTCTAGAGCAAAGGGCAAGGGTACATATTGCTCACTATGGTCAGATTCCCTAAATTCAGGCTACCTCTCCAGTAATGCCACCCACTGCATGTACAAATGTCACCTATGGAAAATGGAGTTTGAGGAACCAGTGCACATGCTGATATCCTGATTACTGCCAGTTGCTGTGATAATTCTACTCACCAACTAAAGACCGATGGGATAATCACATTCATACAAAATCACTAGAAAGTGTCCTTTGTCTCTGATGCAGAAGCATGTCTTCTGTCAGCATTCATAACCCTTTATAGCTCTTGACACTCTTAAGGTAATTTTTAATAAGTTTTTTACTTGCTGAAGGTTTTTCATTATATCACATGCTTATGCATATCCACATTTTGCACGTGAAGTCATTGAGGCTTAGGATAATTAATAAATTTGCTTTAAGTTATTAAGGCCAGGGCTCCCTAATCCAAAGGTCCTGCTTATATTATTAAATTTCTTCTTTAATCCAACTTTTCTTTATAGGTAGAGCACAAATTATTACTTGAGTATGGAGAGGAATTGGACCATTTGCAACTCTTTAGATGAAAATGACAAATTCTAGTTATGTCAAGAAAATATTTCTTGGGAAAGGAGAAGCAAAATATAAATTAAAGCTGTCCCCATATACTACTGCCCTGATAAATCTTTAGACCTTAAATCAAAAATAACTCGCTAAAGTCTTCTTAAATGAGTCAATAGTTTACCTTAACTAGTAAAAAACTATCTGCTTGATAATTTTGCTTGTTAGAAGCAAAATGTGAGATCAAATCCACAAAAACAACCTGGAAAATTAAATAGGAACCTGAAGGGACAGTAAATTTACATTAGTGGGTGAGGGAACAGCTCAGAAAAGGAGGGTGAAAATGGTTGCACAATGAAAGAATACTAGGAGAAACTGTTGATGTTTGATATGCATATGCTTGACAAAAGAGAAAAGCTGGTTCTTAAATGTCCCACTTCACATGAGTAGCTCAACCTTGTAAAAACTCTAGCAATTGTAAACAGAGGAAAAACAGCTTAATACTAACTATCATTTTTATTAATAAGAGCAACTACTTCAAACAGATTTTTAAGGTAAAAGCTAATTTACACCAGAAATATTTATAAACATACTGAGATTAGTTTTCAGATTTCTCAATTATTTTGATAAAAGAAATTTAATTTTATAATAGAAATGTTTTAAGTCTTAATACTGATAATAAAATGAGGCAAAAACTTAGTTAAAAGGCAAAACTGACTCAAAAAACTGGTGGGCCTCTGCTCATACCCTCCCTCAATACAAGAACACTTTGTTTTAACAAATTGGCATTCTCTGATGCTCACCCTCCTGGCACAATCACTGAAGACAAAATGGGTACAAAACCAAATGTGGTAAAGAAAGTGGATGGTGCCCGGCTATTAAAAGATATAGTGGCCATCTAGCCCAGAAGCAACAAAGTCCACATAGAAGCAGCACCCAACATGTGTGACCATGAAGGGCCGAAGGGACCAGGCTTCAAGCACCAAAGGTGTGTGTGTGTGGGGGGATCATATCATCATGAATGAGGGTAGCGCGTGATGGGGACCCAATGCCCACCTGTAGACAACTGGACATACCTTGCAGACAGATAGTGGGGAGGAGATGAGTCACTCAGGGCTCAGTACAGCAATAATGAAACTCATAACCTTCCTCTAGTTCTTAAACGCTACCCCCCCACCAACTACCATGATCCCAATTCTACCTTGCAAACCTGGTTAGACCAGAGGATGCACAGCGGTACAGATGGGAACTGAAATTTTCACACAGGGAATC